TGTTCAATAATTAAGATATTTTAATTGTAAGAGACATCTTTTGCAATTGTATATGCAAAGCTTTTCTACTCTTCCTTTTTTTCCAAGATAATCTATATTATTTAATACATTTTTTATAATCTTATTTATAGGAGCTATTAAAGAAAATGAAAGAAAGTGAAGATAACGATAGAAAAAATCGTGAGAAAATGTCTATACCTAGGTTGAAAGTATACTGTCATCATCCGGTAGAAGGGAAATTGATGAATGTCAAATTATTTGTCATGCCTGATATCACTTGGACAGAAGCAACAGAAAAAGCGTATAAGAAATTTGGTCTTGAAAATGTAGTGAGTTTGGATCAGTGTCGTTTAGTTAGTTATGAACATAATACTGATTTAATAGAATGTAGTTACGATGATCGAGAGCATGAATCTGTTGGAAATATATGGCGTTTTTCACGTCGATTTGATTTATTATTAGAAATTCGTCGCAAAGATCAAAAGTTTGAGACGTATTTACCGGGTGGTGAGTACGGAATTGGATGAATGTGTGTGTGAAATGAGTTATATACAGTCAAAATTCAAACTTCGTAAATGTTATGTTTCAGGAGTTGCAACTAAAGTATTTGTCATAGACGTAGCCCGAGAGGAGGTAATTGACGGTCCGATCGATATCCGAGGTTTATTGTCGCAAAATGTTAAAGAATATAAACAAACCGTAGGAAAAATTATTAGTATGGATCCCAAGCAAATGAAAGTAATATTGCGAAAATTCCCGGAAATTAGACCAGTGGAAAATGATGATAGTGATCTTCAAACTGAAGGATTTTATAACGCGAATAAAGTATTCATATCAACGATGTATGATATAGATAATAGCAAACCTTTTCAAGAATCTACAGTACACAGAATTATAGAAAATTTTAGACATGTTATCTCTCTGCATGTTCAGTTACCAGATACAAGTAAAGGTACGATTTTTCAATAGCTTACAAAATGTCGGATAGTAGTTAAATTATAATTACAAACATTATAATTTGTTTTAATTTTTATGCAGAAATTTTGGAAGAACTAAATATCCCATTGTTAGATGATAAATACGAACAAAAGGAAAAGTCTGTTACTAGTGGTCCACTTAAACTCTTTAATGAATCCGATTGGGATGTTAATTTGAAATGCAATGAAACCTTGAAAGATGCACGAACTAATGAGGATGCTACTATACGAAATATAAGTCCTCAGTTAGGGGAAGCTGAGGAATGGAATACTCCTGAACAAAGTAATAGTGAAGATAGCAGCCTTAGTGATAGTGATAAAACGTTAGTTGGTGATGCACCAGAGGGTACCGATATTGCACTGCTATCCCACGATTGCGGTTCAATATTGTGGAATAGTCGTGAATCGAATCGTTACGATTGCAACGTAGGCGTAAGGCGCAACTATAAGATTTCAAAGCGATTCGAAATAGAAAACTGGGATATTGATGATGACTCCGATTATTACTTTAGAGCTACACCATATACAGATAGTACTCAACAAAACCGTATGTCGTTAAAATCAACATTTTAATGACTATGACTGTTGGTCCCGTAATTTAATAATCTTTTTTTTTTTTACAGTACTTAAAGTATTAGTGGATAAAAGAATGAGATTGAGCACGTTGAAGAAAGATTTAGAACCATTTGTGGGTGTACCTGTCGAGTATTTTAAAGTTTTTCGTCTATCGAATTCTGGTGAATCAGAATGCAATTGTTTGATGGAACAGCTTAGTTCGTACGAGGATGGTGAGAGACTTAATGTGAAACTCGGCCGAGCTTTGCGTAATGGAGAATTTAAAGTAAAATTATATCAACTATTAATCGACTCCACTGAGGTTTGTATCATATTTTTTGCATGCTTAGAAAAATCTGTGTGTCATTAGTGTATTATCAAGATTTCTTATTATGTGGATAAAAATTTTAGCCTTATAAATTTTTATGTGAATGGATTGTCTCGAGAGATATGACGGTTGGACATGCGAAAAAAGAGATACTGGCAGAAATAAAGAGAAAATATGATATAGATATACCATATGAAAAATGTCGACTTAGGAAAAAGTATTACAAAACAGCCTCAAAAGTATTTCTAAACGAACAGAAGTTTGAGGATCTCCAATTTCATTCACAGTTTGAAATGATTGTTCAAGAACTATCAGATAAAGAGGTAGTCACAGACACCAATCAGATTGTCCTGTTTGTCAGAAGGTGGTTACCAGCAAAATTGCAATTGGGACAATTCGAAGAAATTGTTATGGATAATAGAACTGTTGAAGAACTAAAAAAGAAAGTAAGTCATGTAAAAAAAGTTATTTTTGTATCGATAAGAAGATAAAATGGACTTAAATAATTATTGTTCTTTTTTTTAGCTTTCCTCAATATCAGATGTTCCGGAGGAGCACATAGATATAGCAAAGGGGAAAGGTAGTTTTCCGTGTGACAATTCTGTGCTTCGAATCCAAAACGAGCATGATTGGAACGAACATCACGATAGTTTATCTTACAATTTTGAAGATGGTGCTGTCTTCTTGTACAGGTATATATTTATTTGTCGTTAAATTAATATACGAAAAATACCTTTTAATTTCACTAAATGTTTGAATTGTTTTAGGGACAATAGAGAAAAACCAAAACAATTAAATGCTGACGAGGTAATGGAGATCGCTTTTAAGGAAAATTCACGCTTAACGCCGCTTTCTACTACTTCGAGTTACAGTCCACGTCGAGAGAGAGCACTTAAAATATATTTGGATACCGAATAATCGTCCATAGAGAGAGAGCATCGTTCTCCTAAAAATGAGTTGCTAAATAGACATATGTGCGAACACAAAACATTTTCACATAAATTAGTTACATGTTGGATATTTGTGAAATTAATATTTCCTCAAATGTTAAATGTTTTGTGTTCCAGTGAGTCTTCAGCATTTCAAAGCTTCCGCGTTCCTAAAGTTTTTTTTGTTTTTTCCTTGAAACTATTGGATTTTTGAAAGTGTTTGGATTCATGAATTGTTATATAGTAACACATAAGTCGGAATCTCGGTATCTATACTCATACCTGATTTCGAGATTTTTAGAATTTATATGAAGTGTAAAATATGTCCACGATATCACCTGGTCTGTTGAATCAGTTTTCCATCTCTAGAATCAAACTAAGCAGCACGATTAATCATAAAGCAGAGCTAATAATATAGCGATGGACAAACGTCTGATTTAATGAAAAATTCATGTGTGTTATCGACTTCTTAATATTTTGCATGACAATGTAACTTGTGTTCTTGTTACCTTACTATTTTTGCGAAATCTGCTCGGTTTTCTCTAGACAGATCTTTATATCTTTATATCTGTTAAAATATATATATATATAATATAGGCATTGTGTTCTTTGTTGGAACAGTTCTATGTCTAGTATTGTATAAGAACTGCACTACACAAGAACTTATCAACAATTTTGTTATTTATTTAGTATGATGATAATTAGCTTGTATTTTTCTAATACGTCAGTTATGGATTTGCCACTTCATAAAACTTTAATGAGTTTTGTCAATCCTTTTCGAATCTAAAACATATAATATTTTAACCTGGAAGTTGTTGTGTAATGGCGTGTGTCAAATCACTGAATGTGATCGATTTTTTAATAACAGATATCACATACATTTTTTAATAACAGTTATCACGTACGTTTTATTATTTTTCAATTAATCGATGTATATTAATAATACGGAAATAATGAAACAAAAAAAATGATTTTTTTTTAGAAAGAGATATAAAGAATAGGTGTAATTTTTACATATATTCTCTCATTCCTCGCTGTATTGCTGATGTCGTAAAACTTGGAGCATATTACTATTCAACTTACATTTGATTTACGATTGTCATTTGTACTTTAAGATGTATACATATCATTGCGTTACCTTTGCAATAACACTCAGAAATACTGAAAATAACTCCTTGTAGGTTCAGAAGATGTGCACGAAAGTGTTGTAGCTTAAAAGTGTGAAACAGTGCTTTAGCTGCCAATATTTATTCACTTAGAAATGAATAAATACATCGTGGAAGCTGCTTTCGGTTGATTTTCTTTTCATGTAAAGATGAAAGATTGATGAACTAGACCAAGTGGTAACTTAATAGTTCTATTGTTGCATCTTTATTTATTTTGTTATCCTCTATTAATCATTTTATTTATCATTTGAAGCTAAAAGCTTCACACTGATCATCGTTTTTATAATTATTGAACGAAGAAAAGAAAATGTCGATACGGATACTATCTTTTAGCAAGGTAGAAGAACATTGAAAGCAGCGAGCTACATTTGATCATTTTTGTGGATAAGTTAATTGTAAGATCATGGAAAACATCTCTCTGGACATGGATATACAGATTGTAATTTGAAACTCTCTCTAATTAGCGATCAAAGGTTATTCTCTGTATAATATACTGAAGTTATGAAACAAATTATATTTATAATTATTAACAATGAAATATTGAAATGTCTAGATTTGTCTCGTTTAGATCACCTAGTTTATAATGTTTATTTCTTATTATCCTTATCCAGTTCGTAGGAATATATGTAAATGATTGCATGTTTAAAAGTAAAATAATAGAAATTTCAAATTTTGCCCTTATCAGTATAAAACAATGTAAAAAGACAAATCAAAAAATTAATATTTAATGGAGTTACAATTATTAAATCATTTTTTGATATAGTTAACAATAGAAAAATATTGCAATTTTCAATATTATTTATTAATTTAGCATAAAATTCGTTAGTCGTGATCGTTAGCATATCTTACAGAACGATTAAAATTCGATTAAGTTAATCGACAATTAAAATTCAACCAATAGACTTAAACATAAAGTAAAATTCTAATTGTGTATAATTTATTTCTATTAATCTATTTTCTTTCCATGTGTCGATGAAAAATTAATAATTCTCTCCGTGTTAATAAAATGGTACAGGTATCAATGAATTAATCGACGATCAAATTAATCGGAGTTTTAGTAGAAATTACCTTATTTTTTAAAACGATCGAGTTTTTGAACCAACAATCATGGTTCAGGAACATATATCTAGAGGCGATTCATTCGCAAGCTGGAGCACACTGGAGTCTGGAGTAGCTTCAAGCACGATGGCACTCTCAACGCTGTATGTACAACATACATCAGCTGACTCTCTTTAGTTTATTTCCTCACATGTAGTAACATGTGTTACACTTGTCAATAGAAATACAACTTTGCAAGTGTCAAGAAATTCATTGCGAGTGATACCGAGTGGAAAGTGGATACGGGTGCACATTCGACTGTATGTACACAATGACACGAAATGATACCATCATTACGAAGGTACTGATAATCTGATTGCTTTTTTCCAATCTGTCGACCGAAAGTTCAAATTATTTTAATCTCTACGTTTTAGATGGAACATGTGGAAGAGAGTTTAAAAGATACCTTATACAGAGTCGAAATAATCGAGAGAAAGCTTAAGACGAAATTACTTACCACAGTAAATCGAGAGAAATTGGAGAACGAGCTGGAGGAAGTTAAGGAAGTTCTCAGACGAAATGAAAAGGAGTTGCAAAATTTAAGAAACGAAAACTCAAAGTCCTTTATGATAGCAGCATGCTTGATCTTTGTATGTTTCCTTATTTATGGAACATATTTGTTGATTTTTGGAAATGTTTAACATCTGTAAGAGAAATTTATATTTATTTATTTACTTTTTGTAAGTTCTTAGTATGTTGTACATCTGTCAGGACACAGTTTACAAATTGCCAATTATGTCAGGTTTTATAATAAAAACATTGAATTTATTTTATAAAATGTATGCGGGAATTTATAATACTTTAATTTTGATATCTTTTTTACTATTAGTCAATTAACTACATATATAATTGTCACTGTCGTATACAAAGTAATATTGACAATAACGTAACGAACATCAACCATGAAATATTTCAGTAGAAACATTTAAAAGTAATGTGCCACATTAAGATATATATGTAAATAAATATATATATGTAATACCATTATAATAAACATATTTTAGATGTACTACGTAGGTGCAAGAATTTATATAATATTTGGAATAAATAAAGCGAGTTTTTTTAATTCATCGCTTGATCAATCGCATTATGTGCACATGCTTTTACGAAGTAAACTTGTATTTGCACACAATGTGATTGATCAATCGATGAATTAGAAAAACTCGCCCATACTTGTCCAAGAAATGTATACCTATATGTAAAAACATATGTAATTTTTTATGTAAAAGAAAATTTTATTTTCACATGTTAACCAATATAACAATTAAGATAAATGCTCTGTTTTATAAACTAGTTAGTATCTGTAGCTTGATTGTAAAACATCGCAAATAAAATGGACATAGGTTGAATTATCTTTAGCTGTTAGCTATTAAATCGTACTGAGGTGTCCCAGCTAGACGACTACGCATGTACTTGGCGTGCATTTCGGCATCTAGGAAGCTGCCACTCACTGCAGGATCTTCTTTCATAGCAACCCTCCATTCAAGCTATATTACATAACAATTTGTATTACAATCGATATACAAGACGTTTTAAAACCTCTGGGATGAACTCTTTAAGGACAATAAATTTCAACAAAAACAGACAAACTTTTGTTTTTCAGAAACATCTGCCTCCTTCAATTTTTAAAGAGTTGTGAGGTATGCAATTATGGTAATATTGCGCGTAACGTCTGATAGATAAATACTCATTTTTTCTTTTTCTATTTTAATGTGCTTTTTTATCTTTCAAAACAAAATCACAAGATGTGAACTAGTATTTCAGACGTTATACACGATCAGACAAGTAGTAAAAAATGCATCAAAGAGGCTACATGTTCTATAACAAAAGTTGTTTTTGTTAAAATCCATCATCCCCTTTTATCTCAGGAGTCCTGAAACATCCCTGTATATACTAACTTCTAATAATAATAATTACCAGTCGTAAGAAACGATCACGAGGTAAGACATATTGTTCTCCCTTTAGAATTCTTATTACATCTGCCCTTTCGCACCATGGCCATATCATTAAGTCCAGCATACCGGGTTTGCTGCCTCCGAAAAAGGGAGTCCCTCTCTTTGCCAACTCCCGATCAAAGAGTTCTAGACCAGTTAACGCTTCGTTGAATACATCTTGCACCAATGCTGTTTCTGAATATCCCTAAAAATCAAATACAATGACTATTATGGGAATGTACTTAAAAGTTACAGACGAGAATACATGTAAATATTTCTAAATGGAACCGGTATAAAACAAATACCTTATGCATAGTTGCTATCACTGTATTAAATCTGTCGATCAATAACTTATCTTTAGCCTTTGCTAAAGAACTATTTGGATATAGTTTGTTTTGAGAATATGTATCGTCCAGGTATTCAGCGATAATTAGACTTTCATACAGTGTTTCTCCTCCTTCCAGTTCGATACAGGGAACTTTATTAAGGGGGCTCTTTTCTATCAACCAGTCAGGCTTGTGCGTTAAATTCACATAAACTACATCGTATCTAAAAGCAAACAATGCAAGAGAAAAACACTACTTTTACACATTTCCATCACAGATAAGTAAATGATTTATCATGTTATAAATTAGAAATTTTTTCAGAAACAATCTTTCTCTTTTTATAAAATGAATATTTTGGAATTCGCGTTTCTCTCTCACTTAGTTAATGAATATTTCATGTTAAATTAATATATATATCACTTGGGAATAGAACATATGAAAAGAAATTTGAATTGAAACTAAATTACTTGGAAATTATATAATATTAAAATGATATATCAATAAAAAATTTTGAAGTGTCAAAAAGTTTAACATTTCAAGCCAAAAAAGATAACGATTAAAAGTAACGATTGTTTTGCTGCATAATCACAACTTACGGAATTTGCTTGGCATCCAGCACAAGGTGAATCCTTTGCGCGTACGGACAAAAACGCATGCTGTACAGGCGTATTTTTCCGGGTACGAGGGGCGGTGGTACCGATCCTGAAAAGAACGCACATTTTTAAACGTTCCTTGCGAACCTGTCAGTCCCTCGATTTACGCAATGTAAACAATACTTCTCTATAGTACCAGTACTCAAATGCTTCGCGTTCATCCTGATTCTTGTATCTAGCCGTCGAAGACGTCAGAAAGATTTCCCGTCTTAAATAACGCTTGACATAGCTGACAATCCGTTAGCCGGCCGAAGGGAGGAATAAATATCGATGACACTGCACAGTGCGAAGTCTTCTGTACGCGCGTACACATGAGAGAGAAAGAGAATTACGGATTGTGCACATCCGCGCCTTCTACATTCATTATCGTTCATTTTTCCCCATTTTCTCAAATAATTTTTTGACGATGACATCGCTATTCGTATTTATATCAGTTACATCTCGCTGGAGAGAAGTGGAAAGAAACCTTGAATTCCTTGAAAGTGCACTTGGGAATATAGTTGTAATTTGAAACTTGCTCACTGGCGCCTCTACGTACACAAAATGTATACATTAAACACGGCAGCCATTAAAGCCGTGTTTACGAATATAAACGAATAACTACATCCGCAAAAGAATTGTAACAAATATGGAACTCGGCAAAAGGAAAAATTAGGCTTAAGATAACTCGGAGTGCGTTCTGTTTACGCATGAAGTATTATCGTTTTATCATTATATTTACCGAATATTAAAGAAGGATAAAATGATAAATCATGCATGCACAAAATCGAACATACCCCCGGTTATATTTATAATTGCATAGACATAAAATTGGTACTTGGTAAGTCATTTGTTTACATTAATTCTTCGATATATTTGTACTTTTAATTTTGAATTTTTTGTTATTATATGACAAAGAAGGCCATCGTTCGTATTATATGATTATATTATATAATAGAAAATGATTAATAGTTTCAATACTTTTTTCGGTCTTATCAACACACACATATTGTTCGTATCCCGAGTTAATTATTTTCATTCCTTATTATATATATATATATATATTTACAAGTATATAAAAATTATTAATTAAATGATTCTTATTATACGTTAATAATAGAAAATAGTTGTAAAATTGGGTATTTAAAAAAAGGAAAAAAGCCAAGATCTATTATTTTATAATTAACTATATCAAAAGTGCTTCTAGTATTTTAAAGAATTAAAGATCAATGCGTAGGACACAAATGCTCCAGTCACGCGTACTAAAGTGTTAATTAATACAAAATGCAAGCTCTTCAAAATTAATTGCATATTATATATGCGCAAATGCAACTTTTACGGAGCAAAGTATGCATTTGCGTATAATGTGATTGCATGATTAATCAATGCAAAAAAACTCATTATAAAAGAAAGAATTCATATTTATCGTGAATGTCGCTGGCTAGAAAATCGAATTTATTCTGATGGTAATTATGAAATTTTAATGAAAATCGTAACTGATGGTAAGTAATATTTTCCTCTTTGATACCGATCGAGTTCGTCCGCCGATAATAGCAAATAGTACGAATTGAAGGCTACCAGATGGCAGTTCAAGTATTTTTTTAAAGTAACAATCAGTATAGTGGCTCACAAAACAAGATAAGTGCGCAGAAAGAATCGGTGATTCGAAATTTGAAAATTTCGTGCAGTATTCGCAAGAATAAGTCCGATCTCTGTTTCCAGATTGAAACTCATTGATTTGAAGATTCGGACACGAGATGAACACGCCAGGACACGCTATTCGGCTTCATATTTTCAATACAACGTGCGAATCAAATACTTTGAATAATCTCAAGTAAGATCATTAATCTACTAAACTATAACTCACATTTAAGCGGATATTGATGCGTAATTATCTAACACCTTTAAACAACACAAAATAAAACAATCGAAACATAAGACGTTTTAAATGCATAAGATATCTTTTAGACGGTTTTGTAAGGTGTTTTGAAAATTAAGATGACTCTCTTTAAGACGCCTTATTTTACAAAAATGTCTTTAAAAGACGTCTTTTAGATGTCATTCGGATGTCTCGTCTCGGGTCTTTATTACAGTTCCTGAAAACGAGATGAAAATTACAAAAGTGAGCTAATTTATATATTAGGATATATTTATAATCTCATTAATCAACACCTAAAAATTTGCTCACTTTGCAATTTTCATCTCATTTCAAAATTCATCTCAAAAATTGTAATATATGTTCTCTCGTTTTTTTTTTTGGACATGTCTCGCACAGCAAACTACCAAGAGATGTCCTGGGTACATTCTTGGAACGTTCTCTGGACATCTTTAGGACATCCCTTGTAAATCTGTGTGTATGGAACGTATTGTTTTATCGGAATGTATTGTCTGAATATACTTTTTTTTGATTACGAAGAAGATAAAGAAATAAATGACGAAAGAACGATTAGGCAAAAGTAAGATGTACGAAATTAGGTTTAAGATGACTCGATTACATAAAATTTGTTCCCATGGCGAAAATATCGAACAAAGATCGAAGATAATCGCAAGTATTAACTTTTTACTTTAGATATCACCAGAACTAATCGTAAACCTTAAAATAAACTCCCCACAATGAAATTGACTTGCGAAATTAAGTAAATTTGTTTATTCTATTATTCGTTTGCGATTTTTCTTTACAGAGAAATCTAATTTAATACTGATAGTGATTTTAATTGTAAAATTTAACCGGTATCTTCCAGTATTAAATTTCTGTAGTGAGCTAAAATTTCG